GGGGAAGCGAAGAGAGATGCTGCAGGTGTTCCTTCTGTTTCTCAATACATGTAATACACACTTGTACACAGGGAAAAAAAAAGTTTCTCAATACATGTAATACACACTTGTACACGGGGGAAAAAAAAAAAAAAGTCTGATTCTCCCTCTGCCTGTGACGAGTCTTTATGGTCCTGTCTTTCTTTTCTTGCCTTTATGTTTTTTAATTTAATTGTTTTCAATAACCAGGTCCTTATGGTTATGGCTCCATTTCCATTTTGGGGAGCGTGTCAGTCCGCTTCCTATTCCCCGGCAAGTCAGAAAAAAAAAACAGTATTGCGTCATTTACCCACTCACGCACCCTCCCGTCCGGCCGAAGGGCCCCCCCCGACCACCATTCATTAGAATCATTACTCCATTTATCTGACTGACTGACTCTGACTGTCAGCTTGCCTTTCCCAGGTTTCCCTGTAATTTCTCTGCGATTCCTCAAAGGAGAACCCGTCTTCTTAATCATAATTGCAACAAGAAAGAGACAGAGATCAACGGTCGACGTGGTCCTGAGTCTTGTTCTTCTGGACGGTGGATGTTCCTGGAGCCCTGGGGAGGGGGTAGAGTTGTGTGCGAGTCCCTCCATCTGAGATGAAGTCCAGGGGACCAGCCATACCGTCGTTAACTGGGTCATCATCCATCAACTCTTGCGGCTTTTCCGGGATCTGCTGAATTTGAGAAGTAGGTTATCAGCAGGAAACGACAAAAAAGTACGGCCGCTCGCCATAGCCAGCGACCGCCGAGCTGTTTGGGGTCCTCACAGACTTTACGCGAGAATTCTCTCGATCAAACAAACAAAAGAGCGCTGTTGCGCCTTCGGCCTCCCATACTTGGGCGGCGATTTGGTTATTATTTGGAAGTCCCTTGAGCTTCTTCCATTGGCAGAGGATCTCTGCTTGCATTTAATAATTCCGTCGTCGCCCAGACCTTCTCGCTCGGATCGCAGGGCTTGTGCAGCGTCCTGAGTGTTGCATCTCGTCTCCTTCCATATGACCCACCAGAATGTCACTTTCTGTAATATCCCAAAAACACATATGCTTGAAAAAAAATTAAAAAAAAATAATAATAAAAAATAAAAATAAAAAACCATATGCGTTCAGATTTGCTAAATTGTGTGCGAATGTTAAGTCCATAGGAGTAGTTGGATGGGGTGCTCGGGAAGGGAGGGAGGAGAATATGTAATCCCAGAGAACTGAGAAGGCTCTTGCCCAGTGTTCAGTGGCATACTTGCAGGTTATCAGGCAGTGAGTGTATCCAGTCCTCCTGCTCATTATCTGAGCACACCACACATTGTTTTGAGCTGTTTGGGTCGTCGTTATTCTTCCTTCCTGATATGTAGCCAGCTGTTCGTTCACGGGGGGAGCCGTGTAGGCGATGAGCCATTGCAGCCCCTTCTAATTCTGACTGGGCATATTGACTTGTATTTCCGCAATGGAATCTCATATAGATCGGTGCCGCGTTCTGTCCTCGTACACATTATTCCATCTGTCGGATTCTGTCCTAGTTTTTCTACCCATCCCATCCTTTTTTTTTTTTTTTTTTTTTTTTTTTT